AAACAAAACAAAAAACAACCAATCCAAACGGAAATCAGAACAAAGTTCATGCTCATACGTTCTCCCCCACTCCCACCTCATGAAGAGCAAGTTTAACAGTATAGATTCTGGACCTTATTTGATAACCTAACTGCTATAAGTTGATGGAAGCTGGGGCTACTGGTTGAATACTCATCAGTCTACTGAAAACATATACATTATAGCTCTTTTGCTGCATTTTTTAAACCTATTACAGGAAGCTGTAAAGCACAGTTCATTCTTTGAGCCAGAAAGGAAGTTTGAACAAGGAAACACTGAAGAAGCATTTGAAACAGCTGATCACATCCTTGAAGGTACAAAATAGTATAAGTTGTTAGGTAGCTGATGAGAGACTCCTGATAGGTTCTAACAACTAAATCCCTCTTATTAGGGTCTCAGCATATGTTCCTCAAGACCTCTAGCCATTTTTCTGTAAAATTATGAATGTATCTTAAATCAGGTTATTAAATCAATATATTGATCACTATGAGATGCACTAAAAGTTAGGAAAAGAAAAATGATTTGTAAGTATACTGGTTTGTTTGTAGGGGAAAATAACATATTGAAGTTAAACCATGCATCTAGATGTCAGTGTTAGGTGGTTCTAGCAAATACAGTATAGACAAACTCCTAAACCAACAGAAGTAAATTAGGTCACAGAGACTTACCATGGACACTATTATACTGCAATGTACCATACATTTTCCCAGTAAACTATATTAACATCTACTAGTGTTTTTCCATTTGGAAACATTAATGTAAATTTAGATCAGATATTTTGAAAATTTAATCTTATACCAGTATTTTTACTGTGAGCTTGCCCTGTACTTTATACTCATTTCTTCATGAACATTACCTGCCAATTTTCTTTTAAACTGGAACAGGAGAGCTCCACATTGGTGGACAAGAACATTTTTATATGGAAACTCATAGTGTACTTGTTGTACCAAAAGGAGAGAATAAAGAAATGGATGTGTATGTATCAACACAGGATCTAACATTTGCTCAGGTAAGTGATATGAGGCAATTCTTAATATATATTAATAGCCCCCAACCCTACAACCCCCAGTTACTCCTATGGATATAGATAGATGTAACTGTAGCAATATTAAATGATACCAATATATGCTGTTACAGTGCAGCTATTACATTTACTTATGTAGCAATGCAAGCTCTCCAACTTTAACCCTGCTTCATTTATTGTGAATGTTAAAATGATTTAATTGACTTCTATCTCTACAGAATCATGATGATGTAACATCCATGGTAGACTATAATAGCTCCTTGATTTGTGTGTGCTCCTGAGTAGCAGGCTCCCCTCCCCTTTTAAAGCAGCTAAAATGTACTTTGTTCATACCTAATAGTAGGGTATAAATTGACCAGTAAAGTCCCCAGATTTTATCATCATAGGCAACTCATCACTATAAGCAGCAACAGTGGGTTTCAGGTAAAGGTGGTGTACCTGTGTCAGAAAAGTCATATTGCCAATCTGGCAAGTAGTGCATGTCACTGCTATATTGGAATCGAAGGTAGCTGCCATGAATTCACATTTTGTTCAGTATTTCAGCCCCCAGTAGGGTTAAAAAATTAATTCCAATGACAAAAACATTGTACGAACTGAGGAGATCAATTGTAACATTTCCATAGTAGTAGCCATATTGGATTCCAAAATGGCTGACAGATTAGCATATATGTATTGACTCAATGTAATTAAAAAATCTAGTAAACAATACTGTAATACTAAAAGTTCATAAATTCTATCACTAAAAATTTCATAGCAGGCCTACAGTACTGAAAAAACATTGCAACTAAGACTAGTCTATTTGAGTTATACTGAATAGGATAATACATTTTTTTAAATTTCAGAATGTAGATAAGTCAAATATAAATAATACATAACTCAGTGGCAATGAAACAAGCAGACATATGTTCAGTTCGAGGAAATAGGAAAGTGTAATAGTTTAATCGAATAATATAACATAGATTTAATAGATTTCGTAGACATTAGGGCTGGAAGGGACCTTGTAAGATCATCGGGTCCAGTCCCCTGCCCAAGGGGCAGGAAGTCAGCTGGGGTCAAAGGATCCCAGCAAGATAAGTATCCAAATGTTTCTGAAAAGTGTCCAGAGTAGGTGCTTGCAGAGTAGGTGGGAGGATGACATCCTGGGTCTTGCTCGAGATGCATCCGTAGATGCAAGCCAGAGTTTTGTTCATTTTGACAGCTGTGGTATCTCATTGGTGGCTCATGTTCCTCTTGTGGTCAGTCATGACCCCCAAATCTCTTTTCGTCGTGGTGCTAGTGAGTGTAGCATTGCCAAGCCTGTAAGTGTGATGCAGGGTTTTTTTAACCCAAGGTGGAGTATCTTGCATTTCTCCATATTGAATGCCATCAGGTTTTCATCCGCCCACCTTGCAAGCCTGTCGAAGTCAGCCTGGATCCCCAGCCTATCCTCAAGTGTGGATACTCTTCTCCAAATTTTGGTGTCATCAGCAAACTTAGCCAGTCCACTTCTGACACCAGTGTCCAGATCATTTATAAAGACATTAAAGGGTACAGGTTCAAAAACGGAGCCTTGGGGGATGCCACTGGTCACAGAGTACTATGTTGATTTGGTTCCATCAACTGTCACTCTCTGGTCTGACCTCAGTGCCAGTTCCCCAGCCATCAGACTGTGGAGTAGTTGAGGCCATAGTTGCCCAATTTTTCCATGAGGACATCATGGAATACCAGGTCAAAGGCTTTTTTAAAGTCCAAATATATGATATCCACCCCTTCCCTTTTGTCCAGGTAATACGTCACGTGGTCATAGAAGGAAATGAGATTGGTCAGGCAAGACCTACCTGCAAAAACATGTTGGCTATCCCTCAGAATCTTGCCTTCTGTTAGCCTGTCAAGAATGGTTTCTTTGATAATTTTTTTCCAAAATCTTCCCAGGGATTGAGGTCAAATTTATTAGCCTGTAATTTCCCGGGTCTTCTTTCCTCCCTTTCTTGAGGGCAGTATGGAGCAAGTGATGGTGGTGAAGTATCATCAGCAAGAAACTGATTAAAACATGTTCACCCTGGTATGGCAATGTTCTCTTGGTTGTCAGCTGATATTCTATCTGGTATTCATGGTAGCTCTGCTGAAACCTGTTGAACAGCTGTGTTGTTGAACTTTTCATTCATGTTACTACCTGAACAATAGATGGGTGGTTTCAATGACTTGTTACAGGTCTTTATTGCCAGAATGACTCTGTTAAATTCAAGTGGTACATCTTTCAGAATTCTTTTCCTTCCTGTTATGTCAGTGCTTTCTTCAATCTCAACTGGTTTTGATGGTCCTCTTTGAAATGCCTTTAAGTTTTTCTCAGCAATGGTGGTCTTGATGTGATGAACTGTGTCATATGGCATGCTGCATCCAGCAGCATAGATACTTTGTACCAGCTTCTTAGAACTAGTTGCAAGCCTAACCCAGCATGTTTTGGTGTTAGCTTTTTGCCCCTTGACTGCAGGTAAACCAAATCCTGACATATATTCAGTACAACTCTGTCTAGATTCTTTTCTTGCTTATGATTTTCAGCATTTAAGTCGTCATTGCCATCTTCCAAAATCAAATAGATCAATGTGCAAAGACTATCAGGAACACATTTTTGGACTTGCTCTTCATTCAAGTTGCTGTATCTCTTCATGTCAACTGTAACTTTCAAATCTGCTTTGATGCTGAGAGCAGCACAGTACAAGTTTTGTGTATCTGAAAACTCTTCTTTGAACTGCAGGCCAAAAGTTTCCTCATCATTTATATGTGAAATTACAACTGCTTTTATGGCTTTACCTGTTGTCACAGTTCAGAAGGAAAGGAGTGGAAGAGTGCATTTCTTGGGTGCTGAAATTGAATGACTGTCTCATAGTAAGTCTGAAGTTCTTGCTTTGTTGGCTTCAGCATGGTCAGGGGACATTCACCACCTTCATCTTCTACTAAATTGCAATATCTACTAAACTGCAATATTTCAAGTATATCTTTCAGACTGTACACATTTTCACATGCAAAAGTGGCATGTAGTTCATCAATCACTTGATGCCATGCTCTTGCTTCAGGAGAAAGAAGAATATCTTCTTACACAATCTCCACATGCAAATGGGAACAAGAGACTTGTTGCTTCCATTTTTCCTTCTGCCTGCATTCAGGTTGGTAATGTACCTCATCAGCTATTAGATCTTTGAGACCAATTCAGCAAAGCAAGACTTCATTTTTCTCTGCCGGCTTATGTATTGCATTGACTGATTGAAATGACAACACTTGACTCAATCTCTTCTTATTAGAATGTTTCTGGTAGAATATGCACATCCTCCTGTGAACTGCTGAAGTAGATGATCTGTTTGATAGACCAACACCACACTCACATATGTACCTACGCACACCCCCCCCCCCCTTAAAAAAATAAATAAGATTGGGCCTAAAACCTGGACCTCAGTGTGCTACACCATGTCCTGCAACTTTTAGCCCCAGGGTCCTGGCACTGATCCAATGGGTTCTGGGGTGCATCCCAACTTGACGTGTTGCAGTGAAAAAACATTTTTTGTCTGCCCACTGGGGGCCCACATCCCAGGAAAAGCTCTGGTTCACAGCCACACTTGAACTCTCAACCTTTCTTCCCTTAACTCAGCATGCAAACCACATAGCCACACAGCAAGGGCACCAGCTGGCCCTCTCAACCTCCCTGCCTAGACCAGCACCACACTCACATACATATCTATGCACACCACCACCCCACACTTAAAAAAAAAATAAAATAAAATTCAAAACCTTGTTTCCTGCAAAAAGAGGCTGCAGGCAGCCACAAACATCCCCCTTTTCACTGCCACAGTGATGCTCAGCCCCAGAGGTATAACGCAAACCTCTAGGGCTGCTGGCTTCTTCATTGCTCAGGCCTCAACTGTCTCAGCTTCCCCAAAATTGAAAAATAAAAGAAGGACATTTTGGCCATACCGAATTCCCCTTCTTCAAAGACACTCTGAGTGCTCCAACTGAAGCACGGGCCTAAAACCTGGAGCTTGACATGGCATGCCGAAACCCTGCACTCTACTTTGTACTGAGTGCTGAACAAACAGTGAAAAATAACTGATGGCTTAAATACCATTCTAAATATCCTAGTTTAGGAAGAGAAAGGATGGGAGAGAAGTACTACTACATCTAATAAACACTTAAAGAACCAATAGAGAAATTAAGACATTAAAGATATGATTTTCGTATCTTCTTCTAATTTAGCATCTGACTGAGCATTTGGCACTTAATAACTTTACTTTAGTCTGGACTAGAAAATTAAATCAAAATATGTAACTGGCCAACATAAGTAAGTTGATATTAAGCATGTACTGAATGTAGGCAAGTATTGTTGTGTTTAAATCATTTATATTGAATTATAGGTAGGGTGATCATAATAATCTGAGGAAAATCTGGGACAGGATAAGGAAATCTAGGATGGGAGGATTTTTGGGGGGCTACCAGCACATGCATGCACACACACATGCATGCACTTACATACCCACACACACAGCCCCGACCCCACAGCTCCCAGGAGTGGGGTCAAGTAGGACAGTGTGGTACACACACACACACACACACACATCTCCGACCCCTGTGTGAGCATACACACACAAATGTGCGCGCGCACACACACACACACACGCACGCACACACACACACACACACACACACACACAGCCCCAACCCCAGGCTTCCCTGCAGTGGGGCCAGGCAGGCTAGCACGATATACATACACACAGCCTTGATCCCAGTGCCGGTGCATGCATGAGCACACACGCACGCAAGCACAGCCTCGACCTCGCAACTCCCAGGACCAGGCCAGGCAGAACAATGTGGCATGCACGTGTGCACGCGCGCACACACACACACACACACACACACCCCCCGCCAACCTCCTGACTCTATTGTATAAGGGACTCTGCTTGCAGCCCAGTGGAGTCCACCCAATCCAGGACATACGATCAGCCTAATTACAGGGGAAGAACCATGAGAAAGAAAAAATCCACATCAAGGTTGGGTTTGCAAAGCTAGCACTTAAAGTATATATACTTTAAACATGTTTGGCTTGCAGTACATGGAATGTGAGAACCTAATGGAAACTTATCATAGTCTATAGTAACTTTTCACTCTTCTTTAAAATTTAAACAATAAATTACCTTATTTACTCAAATCTAAGATGACCTTGAGTTTAAGATGACCCTCAAATAATTAGATTCTGTATATAGAAAATTTTATAAATTTGATATAATTTTTCAGGTATAGAATCTAATTATCAGAGAGTTCTCTTGAATTCATCCCTCCACACTGCTACAGCAGGGAAAGCGGTGTCTGGGAGGTTCAGGCATCCTCCTTGCTCTGTGTCCCCACTAGTTCAGCCCTGCAGCCTTCCTGTCCCCCCACCCCCAGCTCCTCACAGTCTTTTCCCCTTCCCCCCCACTCCCCACAATCTCTGCCTTTTCCCTTCTCCCTGCCCCCACCCCCCCTTACTTTCAGATGCTGCTCAGGCTCTGTTCCCTCCCCAGAGCACAGCACATAGAATAGCAGCCCTTGCAGGGCCATGCCATAGTAGCAGTGCTGCTGAGTGGTCTAGTAGGGGACAGAGTTCCATGTGCGTCCTGCCCAAAACAGAATTCAGCCCAAGCCAGAGCTAAGCTGCACCTGACAGTAAGACTGGGGGGAAAGGATGGGGGCGGGGGGGGCAGAAGTTGCAGGGGAGGAGTGGGCAAGAGGTTGCTATGGGTCTGGCTCTGACCCAGGTGCAGGGCCAGAGTCAGAGCCTCAGCAGCCACCTCCCTCCCACACTTTTGTACATGTATCTAAGATGAGAACCTTTCTCCCCATGCTGTTTGGTTGGTGGGGAAACCTGGTCTTAGATTCAAATAAATACAATAATATTTTTGTCAAGAGACAGAAACAACCTGCCCTTGCTTCTTATGTGCATGAATAATAATATAATGAACTTCAGTAAATAGTCAGGTAGACACTGAAACATTTAAATTTTTACAGCAACTGGTGGCCTCAGTATTAAATGCTCCATTCAGTGTGATCAAGTGCCATGTAAAACGAATTGGTGGTGGTTTTGGAGGAAAGACTGTAAAACCGGCTCAGTTTGCAGCTATTACAGCACTTGCAGCAGACAGGTAAGTAATAGTATCTGAATTGCTTTCTTTTCCAAAAACCATAATCTATAAAGTGAACATGGATGCTAGGAGAATGTCTTACTGATAAATTCAGAGATCCTTTTTTTGATAGTCCTTTAGGCATGTTTAATCTTGACTATGACTCAGCTTGACACTGGGTTCTTGTAATTTCCACTACCTTAATTGTTGGGGGAAAAAGTATTCCCTAACACTGCTTGGAGATTGTTGGGTTTTTTTTTAATTTACTCTTCCATGTTCTCTTTTTCTAGCCCTCAATTATTCAATCAGACAAAAAACCCCAAACCATTTTCAGAAGTTGAAAATAGTGCTTAAGCCATAAAAATAGAAAATGGAAGTGAGAAATTAACTGAAGCTGATATTAAAAGGAACTGTGGTTAGTCTATATGGTCTTTCTGCAAATAGTGTCAAGATTAAGACACCAGGCTGGCACTTGGTAGACACGGGTCTGGTTCCAGGCTCAGTCGCAAACTTCCTGTATGACATTTAGAAGTCACTTAATTTCTCCATGCCATAGTTCCCCATCTGTAAAAACTCCCATTGAGTTATACTGAGTAACACATGGAAACAGATATCTGTAAAGGGAGAGGGGAGAAGTCAAATATATGCAATTATATAGATATTTAACTCCACTGTGGATGAGCAATTCTACCAATGCCAGCAGAGGAGCGTTAGTGTCAGGAAGGGCATCTGGCTGTAAAAACCTGTGCTAGATCATCATGATGCAGATCCTGTATTTCTCCATCATCTGTCTTATTGCAAAAACCTGACCCATGGTACTTTTCCCCAGCATGAATCTGTGGAAAAGTACCATGGTACTGGTTCTGGATCTGGTTTTTAGATGTTGGAGAAATACACAGAAGGTTGTAAAGATATCCATTTCATTTTTATTGACCTGGAGAAAGCCTATAATCATGTACCTAGGGAGAAAACCTGGGTGTGCCTGAGAGTTAGGAGGTGCTGGAGAAATATGTCAGAACCATCAAGGGCATGTGTCACAGCAGGGTCCTGCAGGAGGACCGTGATCTCCTTAAGGCCCCCTTCCTCTGTGCCAAGTCGGCCCAAGGGCACCCTCTGATTCTCGCCCGCCACGTCTTTGATGTTTAAATAAGTTTGGGAGGCTGCCTTATACCCTCTTGGTCACTTCTCGGTGTTGATTCAGACCCCGTGGTTTCCCGGACCCCTTATGGGTTCTGCTCTACCATGGGTGCTTCCCAGGCACCCTAGCCTTATGGGCTATGCGTGGCTCCAACCACCCCTTATACCACGTCCCAAGCCTCACAGCTGGAATGGACGTTGTTCAGTCTCTCTCTCTGTCTCCACCCATGCCCTCTCTCAGGGCCTTCTCTGCAACACCACCCTCTCTCTGGGGCCTTCTCTGCAACACCACCCTCTCTCTGGGGCCTTCTCTGCAACACCACCCTCTCTCTGGGGCCTTCTCTGCAACACCACCCTCTCTCTGGGGCCTTCTCTGCAACACCACCCTCTCTCTGGGGCCTTCTCTGCAACACCACCCTCTCTCTGGGGCCTTCTCTGCAACACCACCCTCTCTCTGGGGCCAGACAGCTCCTTTCTCTCCAGCTGCTAGCAGGGAACTGCCCTTGGCCTCCTGCCTGTGATTTATATAGGAGCCACGCCCTGCCCCTTTTAGTCAGCTGACCTCCTGGTTGCCCTGGCAACCCACAGCTGGGCTCCTTATACCCTGCTAGGGCTCTTTCCCCGGCAGTTTCCCGTTTTTAGGAACAGGGCACCTCAGTGCCCTGTGACAGCATGTATTGAAAATACACAACAAAAGTGAGGAGCAGTTCAGGAGAGAGAGTTTTGAGGTGAAGTTGTATGTACATCAAGGACCAGCTTTGAGCTCATTCCTGTTTGCAGTCATGATGGATGTGTTTACTGAACAAATGTAAGAAAGAGACCATCTCAGAATATGATGTTTGCAGATGACATGGTCATTTGCAGAGAGTTTAGAGGAAGTGCAAACTGGATTGGACCAATAGAGAGAAGTGCTAGAGGGAAGAGGGATGAAGGTTAGTCAATCCAAAATAGAATATCTGCACTGTGATTTCTCTAAGGCACCTGAGGTTGGAAATGTGATAATCAATGACAAACATGCTTGAAAAATTGACAAGTGCAAGTATCTGGGGTAAACCATTCAGTGGAATGCAGAGTTAGATGAAGAGCTGAACCATCGAATAACAGCAGGATGGACAAACTGGAAACTGGTGACCAGAATATTATGCGACAGGAGAGTATCAGTGAAGCTGAAGGGGAATGTCTACAAGACTTGTGGACATCCAGCAGAATTGTACAGAGTGGACATGTGGCCGCTGAAGAAAACTCAACAAAGGAGACTGAACGTGACAGAAATGAGAATGCTCCGATGGATGTGTGGTATGACAGAGATGGACAAAGTGAGGAATACTTATATCAGAAGATCAGTGAAGGTAGTGGAGGCATCTAAGAAAGCACAAGAGAGAAAACTGGTGTGGTATGGGCATGTTCAAAGTAGTCTGGAAGAATACATGGGAAAAGAAGTTACCAGAATGGCACTGCCAGGGAGGACGGGAAGAGGAACACTGGAGATGAGATGGAGAGATATAATAGAGAGGGACATGAAAGAGAAGGACTTAGAAGAAGAAGATACATATGACCAAAGCTGGTGGAGAACCAGTATCTGGAAGTGACCCCATTTAGACAAGACAGGTGAGGGTAGAAAAAGTATAGATGCATATATTTATTTGCAGTTCAAAAATATTTTAATAATAAAGTATTATAACTGTTTGTGTTAATAGTACTATCTTTTTCAGTCTTTTTTTCTGTATTATCTCTTTCAGGGGTGGACTGTAGTCTGGATCCAGCCTGTGGAGCCATGTGGTATGGCCCATGGGACTGGTAGAGGGGTTTGGAATTTAGAGGCAAGGCAGGGCAGGGCCTACCACCAAAATCTGGGGCACAGAGCCCCATTCAGCATGCATATCGGTGGTGGAGTGGCAAGCAACAGATATAGTTATTCCCATTGCTGCTCACCTTGCTGCCGCTGATTGCTCTGCTCCTACAGGAACCCTGCAGTCCAGATCCTACTGGGAGGATGGGGGGAGTTTGACATCCCCAATTTATTTAGATGGTAAGGGCTTTGGGGCAGAAACTCTTGTTTTTTGTTTTGTGTTTATGCAGTGCATAACACAAACTTTCCAGTTTTAGTTGTTGCTTTAATTGCCCCTCAGTGATTCATAGGCTTTTGGGACAAGGCAGTGCAGACAATAAATAAATATAGTAATAGGTACCACTGTAGTATAACATCAACAGCAATAATAGTAGCAATAATAAATAGCTCACATAGAAATTTAATTTCATTGGACATCTTCATTTTTTCTAACCTGTCAGTAGTGTTATTTGGATAAAATAAATCATTGTTTTATTTTTAGAACTGGCCGTGCAGTTCGGTGCATTCTGGATCGCAGTGATGATATGTTAATAACAGGGGGCCGCCATCCTTATCTAGGAAAATATAAGGTAAGTAGAAAGGAAAAAAAAAAATTTTTTCTAACCTGTCAGTAGTGTTATTTGGATAAAATAAATCATTGTTTTATTTTTAGAACTGGCCGTGCAGTTCGGTGCATTCTGGATCGCAGTGATGATATGTTAATAACAGGGGCCGCCATCCTTATCTAGGAAAATATAAGGTAAGTAGAAAGGAAAAAAAAAATTAATCATGTTTAACCTGATCAGTTTTAAGAGTTAGTTATTTCCGGTAGTTTATTTTGGTTGTGCTAACATTCTTCTAAAACTGATAACAAGACTTACCCAAAATTGAAATGACACAGGCAACTACTCCTTAACCAAAAAAAGGAAGCAGAAGAACAAGAGAAATTAGTAGGGCTAAATAATGTCCAGGTGCAAGACATAATTTAAGCTATATAGGATTCCCTGTCTCCCCACCATATGTTCAAAATGGTAACTGTGTAGCAGATGGCTTCTTTTCTGGCTGTCCTTACTGTCCAATGCCACACAGCCACCATGCCACAAGTTCCCATTGTTTTAGGCACAGAGCTTTGAGCAATAATAAAAGGCTTCCATTTTAACTGTAGCAACTGGATCTTTACTTAAGTGTACTGTATTTAGTGCTGCTGCTTGTAGCTGTGTAGTACTCTGTGTACTCAGAGCTTTTGCCTAATCACGGAGATATAACTTTTTGGGAACTTACTGGAGTCACTTTCCAAATTGTCCTTCCTACAACTCCTGTTTCAATTTGCAGGCTCCCTGCAGTTGTCACATACATGTTTACTATGCTGAATTCGAAAGCAGTACCATATCATAGAAGTATGTTTATAGAATGCTAAGCATTCTATAGCTTTGTATAAAGTTCACTTGTGTTTTGATCAAGTAAGAATTTAATTCAGTTCATCAATTGCCAATCACTGGTTATGAAAACAAAAATTAGTGATGTATTTTTTAATCAATGAAAGTATTAGGAGGATAGTTTTTCTCACTAAAATCTTAGAAAAGCTTTTTTTTACTCTCAAGTAAAAGCCTTAGGATAGCATTTTTCTTATTAGAAATCTAGTATAAAATACAGTGTAGAATTAAGCAAACTCCAATCATGAAATACACCCCACAGTGCTTTTAAGATCTTACACAGGCTCTAACACTGAAGGCAGAGCTGCCTTCTTCCTCATTTTCAAATATATGACTATGCATATCCAGCCACACAAAATGTTAAAAGTATACTTGTGGTATGCACCAAGCTTACTGGGATCCCTTGCACCTTCCTAGATAGGTTCTTTGCTGCTTGGTCTTGCAGATCAAGGACACATCTTCCAATGTCAGGATACCTGCAGAAGCTTAAACACAATTATTTGCCTGGCCTTAGATTCATAAATAGATTCATAGAGTAGGAAGGAACCTCAGTGGGCCATCTAGTCCGACCCCCTGCCCCTGGCAGGCAAGAAAAGAGTCACCAACCCTGGGGTCATGTGATCCCAGCCAGGTGCCTCTCCAGTCTTTTCTTGAAAACCCCCAAGGATGGGGTGAGCACCACCTTCCTTGGGAGCCCATTCCAGATTTTGGCAACCGTAACCATGAAGAACTTTTTCCTAATGTCCAACCTAAACCTTCTCTGTAGTAGCTTACGGCCATTGTTCCTTGTCATTCCAGGGGGTGCCCTGGTGAACAGGTTGTTGCCGACTTCATGTTGCTCTCCCCTTAAGAATTTGTACACTGCCACAAGGTCCCCTCTCAGCCTTCTCTTGGAGAGGCTGAAGAGGTTAAGGTCCCTTAGCCTTTCCTCGTAGGGCCTTCCCTGCAGGTCTCTAATCAGATGAGTGGCTCTTCTTTGGACCCTCTCCAGGTTGTTTGCATCCCACTTGAACTGTGGCATCCAGAACTGGACACAGTACTTCAGCTGTGGTCTGACCAGTGCCGCATAGAGGGGGAGAATCACTTCCCTGGACCTATTTGTGAAGCACCTACGGATGCATGACAAGGTGCGATTGGCTCTGCCAACTGCTTCATCACATTGGCGACTCATGTTCATCCTGGAGTCAACAGTGACTCCAAGATCTTTTTCTGCCTCAGTGAAGCTGACAAGGTTGCCTCCCAGCCTGTAGGTATGATGGCAGTTCTTTCTCCCTAGATGCAGCACCTTGCACTTGTCCTTATTGAATTGCATCCTGGTGCTCTCTGCCCACTTCCCCAGCCTGTCTAGGTTGGCCTGGATCTGGTTCCTCCTCTCCAGGGTGTTAGCTGCACCCCATACTTTTGTGTCGTCTGCAAAATTGGACCGGGTGCTTCCCACCCCCTCATCCAGATCACTGATGAAGATGTTGAACAGCACTGGCCCCAGAACCAAGCCCTGAGGGACTCCACTGCCCACTTCTTTCCAGGTGGACAGTGATCCATCCACTACCACCCTCTGAGTGTGACCCTTGAGCCAATTTGCTACCCAGTCTACTGTGTAATCATCCAAGGCAAATCCCCTCAGTTTATTTATAAGGCTGGTATGGAATACCTTGTCAAAGGCCTTCTTGAAGTCCAGATAGATAACATCTACCTCAATTCGTGCATCTAAACAATTGGTGGCCTTGTCATAAAAGGAAACTAGGTTAGTCAGGCAGGACCTGCCTGCTAAAAACCCATGTTGGTTACCCCTCCACATCACATTAGCCAGCGGACTCCCACAAATGTGCTCCTTGATAATTTTTTCTAGGATTTTCCCAGGGATAGAGGTAAGGCTGACTGGTCTATAGTTCCCCGGGTCCTCCTTCCTCCCCTTAAAGATAGAGATGATGTTAGCCCTCTTCCAATCCTTCGGAACCTGACCCGAGCACCATGAGCGCTCATATATCCGTGACAGTGGGTCAGCTATGACCCCTGCTAATTCCTTCATTATCCATGGGTGGAGTCCCTCCTGTCCCGGTGATTTGAATACATCTAGTCCCTCCAAGTGTCTTTTTACCGTGTGAGCACTGACCATTGGTCGGCTGATGTTCCCTTTGTTGGTGTCCGTGATGTATGTTGAGGGTTCATCTAGATTCCCATTTAGGAAGACAGAGGCAAAAAACTCATTGAAGTTCTCACACCCTTACCTCATTCTGTCCTTTATCCCTTAAAACTCCTGTGAATTACTACTCTAGCTCCTTCTAGCCTCACACTAGAAAAGGCAATATATAATAGCTGTAGTTCATAGATTCACAGATGCTAGGGTCAGAAGGGACCTCAACTGATCATTGAGTCCGACCCCCTGCCTAGGCAGGAAAGAGGGCTGGGGTCAGAGTCTTTACTGCCAGCCTCAACTCTGTGATTACTTTTTTCAGTATGCTTTGTGCAATCATCAGCTAGTAAATTACTACTAAATGTTTCTGTGAGTTGGAGAGGTTCCCCGCCTTACAATTCTAAAACCTGTCGGGGCAAAGGGGGGAAAACACATATCATCTCTAGAGTCTTGCCAAGAATATGTTTTGGGAGCTGATTCCTTTGATCCCAGCTACTGGTGCCACTTCATTACAGCATGAAGACTCCCAAGTGTCCCTAAAAAGAAAGGCTGGAGCAACAAATAACTATGTGCTCATTTGAAATGAAACAACGGCTACAAGCCTTTGAACTGAGTTGCCCCTTATTGTATTATTCTTTGTTATTTGCACAGTGTTTAAGTATTTACACTTTTATTAAAATCTACAGGTCTTTTATTTTTGTCCCAAAACCAGTGTTCCTATAAAGTGGAGGCTTATCCCCTCCACCTTTTTCAGAATCATACAAATGCTTTGTGAACCTGTATGAATTAACTCAGTTCCAGCCTCCAGGCAAGAAGAAATGCAATAACCCATACCATGAAAGCATGTTCACCATACTATTAGAAATGTATAAAAGCAGAGCCTGCATAATGGAAGTGCATAACACAGCATAACCCACTGGATAAGGCATTGGACAAGCATTGCTATATCCTCCACAGTGAAATCACAACCTGCATTTCATGTATAAAGATACAGAGAGCATGCTAATATGTATGATGAAATGGGTAGGATCCATAAAAAGACCAGATTTGAATAAAAGACTACATAGACTGACAAAATACGTTGTAATCTGTTTTAGGTAGGATTCATGAATGATGGTAGAATCATGGCTGTGGATATCAGATATTACAGCAATGGAGGGTGCACAGAAGATAAATCTATTTTGGTAAATAATTTGAAAATTAGTGGTATTGTAATTTTGTTTTGGGGCCAAATAGAATGAATGGGTGGTTTGCTAAATACTGTTGGGGAATTTATTTTTATAACAAAAGGGTTACAATATTTTTTGTGACTTTGCTCTTTTTCCCAGGCCAAAGGAGGTGGGAAAATAATGTTAAAAATTGTGCCTAGAGGATTGCAGCACCATAGTAGTAGGCACTGTACAGACACCCATAAAGTTCTAGCTCTATATCAGAGTTTACTATGTCAGGCTCTGGTCCTGCAAGTTGTTCTGTGCAGGGGAAATCCCATTGAGTTCTGTTGGGTACCACATGGGCTGTAAAGGGAGAGGGGGGCAGTCAAATGTATACAGTTGTATAGATGCATTTATTTACAGTTCATATCTCCTTGCCTTGCCATCTAGCTATCAAGTGGGAATTTAGGTGGATTTTAAAGGTAGAGTTGGTGGTGGCTGTATGGCTCATTCAGGGTGCATGGATAATAGTTCAGAAGATTCTGAAATGATGATGCTTTATTTCTATCTTTTCTCATCTTAAATAAATATTAATATTTTTCAAGGAGGGTTGGCTTTCCCCACAGACAAATGATAAGAAACAACATTTTTCTTATGCCCATCTTTGTGAATCGAACAGAACAGAAGGTAGCTTTGGGTGTTAATAAGAGTAGCTGATAAACAGGGAGATCATTCTAGCATCATTGGCATAATGAAAGAGGATCTGTGGTGACTAAATTTAAAGGAAGATAATTGATACTGTTTGTGTGATTTGTTCCCTTGCTGAAGGTATTGCAAGTAAGTATGTTAGGATTATTCAATGCTTACAAGATTCCCAATCTTCGATGCTGTGGACGAGTTTGCAAAACAAATTTGCCATCAAACACATCTTTCCGAGGCTTTGGATTCCCCCAAGCAGCACTGATTACAGAATCCTGGATAACAGATGTGGCAGCTAAATCTGGTTTATCTCCAGAGAAGGTAACCAAATAAATTAAATGCATTGAGTGACATAAATTTATTTTGAATTACATTTGCGTTGCTTGTTTCTGCTAGTTTTTTAACAGAAATACAGATTATGCGTCTAAGACATGACATAACATAATTTAATTCTCACATATACTGTTGTATTGCTTTTGTCAGTATGGTACAATCCTGCTTTACTCTGACTTGTTTCCAGGTTAGGGAGGTTAATCTATATAAAGAAGCTTATCAAAAGCACTTGAAAATGGATATTGATCCAGATAACTTGATAAGATGTTGGAATGAATGTATGGAGAAGTCTTCATACTACAAGAGGAAAATGACAATAGAAGAATTTAACAAACAGAACTATTGGAAGAAAAAAGGAATTGCTATTATTCCCTTGAAAGTCCCCGTTGGCTTTTCCGACCAGTATCTCAATCAGGTAAATTTTTAAATTGCCACCTAAAAAGCCATTGGTTGCTTTTTTAATTAGAGATAAAATAATTATTTCCAACAAATAAATTGTACTAGCCCATAAAAACACAAAATATGTACATAAGAATTAAAGCCCCAGGCAGAGCTCCTAAGTGTATGGATTTGGGTCCCAGACTTAGTCTTCATTGTTATATTTAGAATAATCTAGCTTCATTTGGCAAATATTTAAATGGAGCTTGTAACATAAAATATAGGTGGTTTATTAATATTGGGTTAAATCCTGTTTTACCGCAAATCAGTATAAACTGAAGTCAATGGAACTATCCTGATTTATTCCAGCTGATTATTTCTTCAGTTATTTTTGGATAAAATATAGTCTGAACTGAACTCAGTTTCTTGAATTCATTGTAGAACTTGCAGAAAAAATTGGAATCCTGAAATATTGATGCAGGAGTTTTTCCATTAACCGTATGAGCTATTTTCCAGTAATTAGCTTGGGCTCTAAATCTTAGGGAATGTCCATATGGCACAATGTAGAGATACTAAAGCCAACTCTGATGTATGATCTAACTCAGGTTTCAGAGGCAGTATATTAGCCTTAACATGGCATGTTGTCTAAATTCATATATCCTGCTTCTCAGCAGCACTAATTAGCCAAGGTAGAACTCAGCATCCTGCGTTTGGAACCCAGTCTAGCTCATTCAGAGCTGGCTTGGTTATCTCTCCATTGTGCTGTGTAGACATACTCTGCCGGCTGGATGTTGTGACTGCAGGCTGGATCTGTCCCGTGGGCTGGGGGTTGAGCACCCATGCCTTAGAGCACTAAGAACAATTTATAGTTGTATTGACTGAAATCAATTTTTCTTTTTAGGGTGCAGCTCTAGTCCATATATATTTGGATGGATCTGTGTTGGTAACTCATGGAGGAATTGAAATGGGACAAGGCATTAGCACCAAAATAATACAGGTAGAATGAAAGAAAAACATACTAGCTATTCCAAAATATAGCATAAGCAAGATATCATAATGCTATATTCTCTTGTATACCAAATTCTCCCAATTTCAGGGCCTGTTACAACTCTTCATTCTCAAGCTGCAGTTGTCTCAGCATATGCTATGGTAGCATTGCGGCTGCTCTAATTTATAACTGAAAAATCTGTGATCCCAAAGAAACCATACAAGCAATGGAGAATGGAGCAGTATTATCTCATGGAGCAGAGTTGATTTTGCCTCTTATCCCACTAAACTAGGTAGCTATAGCCAGATTATGATTATTTTCAGTCATTCAGACAATGCAGCAGAGTTGGAACCAGGTGAAAATTTGGTATAATATATTTCTTGTTCAGTGGCTTTGTAAATTCACTCTGCCATTGATGAATACCTGAATTATAGGGTTCATTAGAGGTATCAGAAGTTTATTGTTCCAGTCCTGAGAAAAATTAAGTTCTGGAGTACAGGCTGTAACCATCATCTGTAATAGTAGGAGTGTTGTCTCCTCTGTCTCCCCACTTGATTCAAATATTTGCTTACAGGGAGCTTGTAAATCACAAACCTTGCCATTTATTGCTTTTATACCATGCCATTTACAATTTTTTTAATCAATTTTTATTTAAAAAAATAATAAAAATGTATTGATTCCCTGATTTTCTTGCATCATCAGTACAAGTTGTGTGCAAACTTTTTGATTAATGCTTAGATGGATTTTTTTATGGATCCTTTTCAAAGCTGCCCATTACTCACCCATTGTCCTTAACATTGTCTGCGTATAAAGAAAGATTGATTTACCCTGGCACCACAAGATTTTAGAGTCATTGATGTTGTAACTCCAGCTATATTTAGATTTGTTTGAATCTTGTCTTGATAAACATCTACAATATGTTTAAATACAGCTCTCCTTTGCTTAGTCCAATCCAATATCATATCTAAGGTCAGCAAAAGATTGCAAGTTTGGGTCCTACCATGGGCAATTAATTCCTACCTGAAATAATCTCTCTCCATATTTGTTGAAATGTATAAAAAATATTTTCTCCCCTTTAAAAGAGAGTAATATGTATTGGCAGTGCATTTATCACTTTTCTCTCCTATTTCTTTCCAGTCCTTTTTTTGTATACCACCTTGTTTGTTTCTGCTGTGTCAGAGGGTCACATTAAAATAGGCTTTTTCAGTCTTTTTAACTTTGTCTATTACAGCTGTAGCACTTAGGCAGGAGAAGGTTGTTTCCTAAATATATACTTAACTGTATATTTATTATATAAATTTGATCAGTCAAATAAAGTTACAAAAGAATCAGATACAGTATTTCAGCCATCACAACCAAACACAATGCTTTTCAACAGTAAGAATTATGGCTGCTTACATTAAAGGTATGTGGATAAGAAATGGGCATTTGCACCAGGACAGTTTTGAGGGTTCAGATCTAACATGCTACCCTGAGATCTGATATAAAGCACCTTGCTTCCTGTTTTTTTTATAGCTATGATAAAAGCTGGAATGTAGAGGTACGGTACCTGTCAGGGGTGTAGGTTGTCAGAATGTAGAGGTATCTGTCATACTCATTATGGAGCTATGCACTGCCTGTCACAGCTCTAAGAGAATACTAATTAAGAAGCCATGTTCAGTACTCCAGGATTTGCTTCTAATGCATAATAAACTATGGTGAATAGTTCAGTGATCGAGTGGGAGATTTTCAGAGGTGCAGCTGTCACTTGGGTGCCGCTCATATGCTATTCCTGGGCCTAATCTGAAAGGAAGCTTGCAGTTGGGAATGGGAATGAAGAGTGAAGTCTTACAGTTCATATATTGTTATAGTTCATTCCTGCAAGGAGTTGAGTTAGTGGGAGGAAAGTATGCCAAGTGCTTCATATAATCAGACACATCTGGTGTATCTACACGTGTGCTTTACTGCAGAGCTGATTAATTAGTTACACAGTAAACTGCCACCATCTATATATGTACTCATATTAGAGTGCAGCAAATTAATTAACTCTGCTGTAGGATAGCACTGTCCAGGATAAGTACTACCCTACAGTGGAGTAGTTATGTGTGCTGAAATGTACATCTAGATAGTGACCGGGGCTGGCTAGGGCATGAGGGTGCTACCTGCTTGATAGCCTTGCACTGAAGCTCCCTCATGCCCCAGCCAGCCCCTCCACAGCACATTAAGCCAGGATGGAGCAGCCCCAGGCTGGCACGGTGACCCTCCCCTCTTCCCCCCACCCCCAAGGCCACCTGCAAGCCAGGATTGCTCCACCCCTGTTGAATGTGCTGTGGTCCTGGGCACATGTGTAAACACTGTGCCCAGAAGCAATAAACTCCAACACAAACTGTGCCAGAGTTTTTTGCCTTGTGCTAAGTGCATGTGTAGATGTACCCAGCAAATGCTACATAATATGAAGTCAGTGCTTTATAACCAGAGCAAAACAAGGTCAGTGATTTGATGTTAAAAGAAACTGTCAAAAATAATAAAGGCATAAGCATTATATGTAACAGGGGGTTGTAAATAAATGCTTTATTTTCTCTGCAATAGATTGCCAGTCATGAATTAAAGATACCACTCTCTTACATCCATGTTTATGAAACTAGCACAACAATGGTACCTAATGCTAATGTCTCATCAGCCTCTATTGGAACTGATGTCTATGGGATGGCAGTGAAGGTTAGATTTGTTCTTTACAGAAAAAAAATGTTAATGTCCTTATGTCCTTTTCCACACCTATCTTTCTTTACATCTAAGTTGTTATGATTTAATGGAAATAGTTGATTTATTTAACCTCTTCACTCCCACCAAACATAAGAGGTGGGCTTGAAAAAACCATAAGACCACAAAGTTACAAGTTAAGTCTATAATTTGAATTTCTCTTTCTTTCTCAATCCTTGCCAACTAGAATTTGTGTTCCTTTTTTCTGAACAGTGAAGACATTCATTTAAAAAAAGGAATAGGAATGATTTGATTTAATTAAATCAAATATTGATTGTATTCTTTGTCCAAGTTTCACATAGCGTTAGAGAAATGAACTTGCCTTATGCAGCTTCATGTTTGAAGAAACATGCTGAGGTTATTATACACTGTTTCATGAAATCAAATCAGGAGATTATATGCAAGAAGTAAGACTAGGAAATCATTCCATGTCTGTGGACTTAATTAGACTGTTTGCCAAGAGTATCTGAAGCATAGCAGTTGCACTCTTTATCACAATGAGATCTAGTGTCCAGGGAGGCCTTAATATTCCCCCTAAAGGTAAGCAGGAAAAGGCACAGTTTGTCTCTGACTGAATGACCATCACTATGGAAACTGTGCCTTATTCAGACAACTGCTTACCATTAGAGTTGCACATATATAGGACTAGTCCAGATAAGTTCCAGGTTCAAATACCTTTATAGGAGAACATATATTCTACCCGAGTGTAATTCTTTAAGTTCTCTTCTTATTCCTCCTTCACTTCTTTTCCCTTTACATTTATTTTAAAATACTTTCATTTTATATGACTTTTTCTCTTCTTTCCATTCCTTCCCTTTGCACTAGAATGTAATTAACTGATTTCCCGACACCTAAAAATTACAGATACTGATCCTATACAAGAATGTACAGCATATTTGGTAGGGGTGTGCGAAGTGGGCCCTATTCAATTCGGATTCAGATACAGCCCGAATCGGGGACAGTGATTTGATTAGTTGATTCAGATCACTGATGCTGATTCGATGCGGCCGAATCCAAATCTGAAGATTCAATGCTGATTCGGAGAATGAGAGATTTGGACATAGACACAGCTTTAAAAGTTTTTTCTACATACTTTGAGGTAGGAGGTGTGGCTTGTGATCTCTGTGATGCTGGGGTGCATGGAGGATCCCACAGAAGTGCAGGGGGGCCCTCCACGTGCTCAGTGGAGAACCTGGAAGTGGACCTGAAGTACTTCCGGTCCACTTCTGGGTCTGCCCGGGAGCGCAGTGGGAGGGGCCCCCTGCGCCTCCCCAACTCCGTGATCGGCCACAGGTGCCCCACCTCCCCACCCCCAGGAGGCACCAGTCACCAAGCCGGGGGAGCATGGGGGAGGGTGGAAGTGGACTGGAAGTGCTTCTGGTCCACTTCCAGGTCTGCTGTTGAGCGCGGTGGGGAGTTCCCCGTGCTTGTGTGGGACACTCCATGTGCCCCAGCATCACAGCATTCATGAGCCCCTGCTACCTAGAGGTATGTAGAAAAAACATTTAAAGCTGTCTCTATGTCCAAATCTCCAAATGTTTCCGAATCTCTCCAAATTGATTTGGAAGGTTTTGATTCGATTCAGAGAGATTAAAGGGTCCTCTGATTTATTTCAGATTCAGAGATTCAACCACCTAATTGGGTCGAATCTCTGCTTTGCACAGCCCTAATATTTGGGACTCAGAATACTGAATACTGCTCAATGCACCCATTAAGTGCACCCATTGAGTCACTAAAAGTTGAAGCATCATAAATAATAAATGATTTAGATCCCTTTTGGTACATATTTTGGCTAAATGCTTTCTTTGGAATTAATTTAATCCATTTTACAATTGAGTATTTTCAAATGACAGAAATGTTGGTCTCTGGTTAGAACATGACAAGAAACAGAACCAAAACCAAAACATTTATTGGTTTACTGTTAGCAGTGAGCACACATGCATATAAACTTACCCCAAGTTGTCTAGTCTTTAAATTAAAAATGTTCCTCATGTTTTATTTTTATTTGTTTGTGAACTGTCTGCCCCCCAGGATGCTTGTCAAACTCTTCTGAAACGCCTTGAACCAGTTATGAGTAAAAGCCCTAAAGACTCCTGGGAAAACTGGGTAAATACATTTTCATCTATTCTACCTGGTTTTGAATGACAGTTAATCCATTTGGCCTTGATACACATCATATTTAAAATTAACTTAATATATTTCTGGCTCCATTTGTGTTTGCTGGTAATAAATTATCATATTAACTTGGTTGCAGAACTTTGATCCATATAATTGTTAAATATAATTGTAATTTTTTTGCCTTAAATCAGTTCTATTGTTTTGATCAGAAAGTGGCCCAAGCTAAGAGTTTGGTTTAAAACTGGTCATGCAAAATCTTAAGGAGGGTATGTGCAAACTTCCATCTTTCATGTTAACCCAAGATTACATTATTCTTTAATTTTGAAATACCACTGGAGTTTTCTTTTAAAAATTCCCATTTTGCTAAATATGTAATATTTTCATTCATCCAGAGTAATATTTAACCTTCTAATAAGTACACTGTATTTCAGATTAAAGCAGCTTTCAAGCAAAGTGTTAGTCTTTCAGCTACTGGGTACTTCAGGTAAGGACATATCTGTATGATTTAAAACTCATAGACTTTAAGACTCAAAATCAGGAAATTTGTTTAATTGTGGTCACCATAAACGTATATTTGTGTTTTAGGTGGTTTTGATTGATTTTAGGTTCCTGAAGTCAACACTAGAATAAAAACTTTTATACTGCTTGTCCTGTTTGTCAGTTTTTACTGTAGGATATATTAGCAAATCAATTTGAAATGCATACAGTTTTAAAGGACTTTGTTGTATCTGACAGAGGCTATGATGTTCATATGGACTGGAACACTTGGGAAGGCCATCCATGCGCATACTTTGTTTATGCAGCTGCTTGTTCTGAAGTTGAAATTGACTGTTTAACAGGAGACCATCAGGTAAATTGCTAATTGACTTAATTTCAAGGGTTTAGTTTAGCGAAATAATATATGTTAGGTTTTAAAAAATCATAAACCTTTAACAGTAGAAATATTTCCATGACTTCTTAAAAATGTAATTGAAAGGCATCTGCAGAATCACTTACCCAGTCGACTTTACCATGTATTGCAGAATAAATAGTCAGGGTTTTACCAATATAGTAAGGTACATAGTCTATCAGTATCTTTCTGAAACTGTAATTTTAATTAAAAAAATCTATTGTTAAACTCACCAATTAGTAAAACAAGTGCATAATGTCATGTATTTTATCAATAGAACATCAGAACAGACATCATTGTGGATATTGGCTGTAGTATAAATCCAGCTATGGATATAGGGCAGGTATGTATCAGTAACATATAGTACAAAGATGTAATTAACAATTATCTAAAATTAAAGAGTGTTAATGTGGCAGTGCACCTATGGGTGCTTGCCAGTTTAAGGGCCTGATTGGCTCTGAAACTACACCTGCTGGCAATGTTCCCTCTAAGGAGTAGCAGTCCATGAGTGCGCTGCTTTGGTCCCTCCTCCCCCTTTCAGCATGGTCCGCCGGTAAATGTCCCACTGTAAGTGTCCAGGTGGGAGCAGGCAGAGTTCAGCCAACACCTTTCTCCATGCTAATTGCTGCCCACAGCAGCATAGTGGAGTGCTGTGGGGCAGCCATGGGCCAGACACAATCAATTGATAGAACTGAAAAGGAGGCACCAGGGCCGGCATGGGACACTTACCAAAGGTAAGCTCCTCACTCCTCATGAGGAGCAGGCAGCGGCTCCTCCCTGAGATGAAGCAAGGCAGAGTTGGGGGCTGGTACTGGGGGCTAGCGCGGGCTTTGCCGGCTCTGGGAAACTGCTCTGCTGGCTCCAGGGAACTGCTGCACTCCCCAGCCCTGATGCCATGTGCCTTCTCACTCCCCAGGTGATGTGGGGGTGTGGAGCAGTTCCCTGAAGCCAGCGGAGCCCGTGAAGCAGTTCCTCAGAACCAGCGGAGCCCGCACCAGCCCCCACCTCACCTTGCCTCGCCTTGGGGAGGAGCCGCTGCCTGCCCTGCATGAGGAGTGAGGAGCTTACCTTTGGTAAGTGTCCCACACCAGCCCCAGTGCCTCCACTGCACTCTGCGCCCAGCTCCTCTCTGGGAGGGTGTGCAGCATTAAAATGTTACTGCGCGGCAAGATTTTTAATTGTGCACAGCTGCGCACACGTGCAGCTTAGAGGGAACCTTACCTGCTGGGGTTGGATGGTGTGGTGCGGCTGCCTGTGGCAGGGCAGTCTCCAGAAAATGCCACACCTGTGCCTCCCCAGTGAAAGGCAAGTTGGGGTGCCGGAAACCCTCAGCTTCCACTGCCTTGTGGGTGACCCCATAGAAGGGAAAAGCTAGGGGAGCACACCCCAACAGAAAAGCACCCGGCAAGGAGGTCGGTGGGACCAAGGGGGTCCAAAGTGAGGCAAGGAGCCCAGAGTGTGTGTGAGGGGCAAGGAGTCCTGATTGTGTGAGGGGCAAGGAGCCCTGTATGAGTAAGAGAAATGGAGCCCAATGAGTGCGTCCGGAGTTGAGGGCTGCGGTAATGATTTGGATGCCATCTGCGCGGCATGGGACACTTTAAAGTAGAGGTCGGAACCATGAAGCGGGCATTAAATGGGCAGCTTCCTGCCTTAGAAACAACTTCTTAATTACATTAAAGGTATGGCAGGAAAGTCAGGTGAGCGAGGCGACATTTTAAACGCCCCTGAGACAAACCTCTGCCACAGCTAAGTAGATTAATGGGAATTATTCCATTAGTATCACAGTGGCCTTAAAGCTGGTATAACTAAGTGGTGATCAGGCCCATTATGTACATATAGGTAATACTTGCTTTAGGTTTATTAAACATCAAAGGAAAGACACTTGATATTTTAGTTTTTCTAAAAATGCATGACAATATTCTGCAGTTGATGGGAAATGAATGACTGTGCTGTTTTTCGCTTAGATTGAAGGTGCATTTATTCAAGGCCTTGGACTTTTTACAATGGAAGAACTGAAATATTCTCCAGAGGGTGTCCTGTATACTAGGGGCCCAGATCATTATAAGATTCCTGCAGTCTGTGATATCCCAAAAGAATTCAATGTCTCCTTGCTGTCTCCATCCCAAACTTCAAATACACTCTATTCTTCTAAGGTAAATCAGGACAGATTAGATTAAATCTAGTAGGGACAAATTCAGACATCCTTACTAATGCTAAATACTACCTTACTCAATAGATGATACCACTAAGTGGAACTACTTGTGGAGTGAGGTTCTATCCATCATGATTTAAGATGTTAGACTCTGAACCATAATAAACAGATCGATGTTGTATTTGGATATATAATTTTAAAAACAGGGTTAAAGTTATACAACTTATTTCTCATTGCATAATTTCATGTTTCATAGCATTAGATCATAAACCTAAATATTGTGTAATATGACTGTAATTTATACAAAGCAAAATTACTATGTTTCAATAGACTTTTAAAATGATATTTAAAGCAGTATTAAAGTTTGGTGCTATGGACATATTTCCAGTGAAGTAACCAGTATATTGTCTACAAAAATCATGTTGTTTTTCTGGATTTTAGAAACTTGTATTTAGTTTAATAACTACAGTATGTCCAGGATCTGAAGTCTGTCTTACACTAGCAGTGGAATGATACAGGCAATATAACAGAGCACTTTAATATATAATATCGCTCGTTTAAGTTAGATGGGTCCTCTAACAAAATGCAGATTCACTGCTTTAAACAACTCCAGTCAACTAAGACAAAGAAACTGTGGGGTACAAACCTGTGATCCATTGTGTTCCCCTTTATCTTGCAATATGTGACACATGAAATGAAAGCTCCGTGTACCCATATAGAAATAAAACTAAAGAATAATTCTTAAATTGGCATACTGACACTTTAAAATTGGTATAATACAAATGCATTTAAAAACAGATCTTCTAGTGTTTCTGTGTAGTGATTCTGTTAAAAATCATGTATGTAAAATGGAGATTACAACCAAATAATTCAAGTTTCAGAATTATATTTCACAAATCAAATGAGTAAATATTCAGAAGGGCCTAGTAACTGAGAATCCAAAATCCCGTTTTCAAAAATAACTTGGCTAATGAGGAGTTTGTCTTATTGAAAGGCAATGAGACTTAGGTTCTGTAATCCACAGGGACTTTTTGAAAATGTTATCCCATATCTCATTTACTGTTAAGGGCTGAACAGAAGGATTTTACACTGAGGTGGCTTTAAAAAATCTGAAGGTAATTCATAGATGTTAGGGGCTGGAAGGGACCTTACAAGATCATCAGGTCCAGCCCCACTGCATTTGGGCAAGAAAGACTGCTGGAGATAGATGACCCAAGCAAAGTGTGTGTCAAGACACTTTTTGAAGATCGCCAGGGTGGGTGACTGTACCACCTCTGGGGGGAGTCTGTTCCAGACCCTTGGCACTCAAATTGTAAAGAATTTTTTCCTTATGTCCAATCTGAAGTGATCTTCAATCAGTTTGTGCCCATGGTTTCTTGTCTTCCCTTGGGGGCCTTGGTGAACAGATGCTCTCCCAGGCCTTGATGCATGCCCTTGATATACTTATAGGTTGCCACCAAGTCCCCTCTGAGTCTCCTCTTCAGGCTGAACAGTTCCAAGTTTTTCAGCCTCTCCTTGTATGACCTGCTCTCCAGAACTTAATCATGTGCATGGCCCTCCTTTGGACTCTCTCAAGTTTCTCCACATCCTTCCTGAACTGAACTCAGTACTCCAGTTGCGGTCTCACCAAGGCCAAGTAGAGCAGGAGAATGACATCCATAGTTTTGCTCAAGATGCATCAATAGATGCATGCCAGTGTTTGATTTGCTGTGCCAGCTACAGCATTGCATTGGTGGCTTGTGTTCATTCTGTTGTCTATCACGACCCCCAGGTCTCTCAGCTGTGGTGCTGGCAAGCATAGCTCTGCCAAGCCTGTAAGTGTGTTGCAGTTTATTTCTCCCAGATGGAGCACTTTATATTTCTCCGTGTTAAACGTCATCAGGTTAAGATCCACCCACCTTGCAAGCCTGTCCAGGTCAGCCTGTATCGCCAGCCTGTCCTTGAGCATGACCACACTCCCCCATAATTTGGTGTCATCCGTGAATGTTGCCAGTTCACTTTTAATACCCGAATCCAAATAATTGATGAACATGTTGAAAAGCATTGGTCTGAGTACTGAACCCTGAGGGATGCCACTGGTAACCTTCTGCCATGTTGACTCAGTTCCATTTTTTAGTACTCTCTGGGTCTTACCTCAGAGCCAGTTAGCTAGCCACTGGGCCGCAAAGTAGTTGAGCCTGCATTTTCCCAATTTTAGCATGAGGAGATCATGAGAGACTAGGCTGAAGGCCTTGTCGAAGTCCAAGTATATGACATCAACTTCATTTCCCCTATCCAGGTGGTGAGTTACCTGATTGTAGAAGGAAATGAGGTTGGTCAGGCATGACCTTCCCACAACAAAGCCATGTTGGCTATCCTTTAGAATACTGCCTTCTGTTAGCCTATCAATAATGGATTATTTGATATTTTTTTCCAGGATTTTACCAGGGATTGAGGTAAAACCGATTAGCCTGTAATTCCCTGGGTCCTCCTTTCTCCCTGTCTGGAAGATAGGCACCACATTGGCCCTCTTCCAGTCTTCTGGAACTTCTCCTGAGCACCATGAGTCTTCAAATAGCTTTGCCATAGGTCACATGATGATGTCTGCCAGTTCCTTTAGCACTCTTGGGTGAAGTTCATCTAGTCCTGCTGACTTGTAGATATTCAGGTGCTGACTTGTAGATATCTCTAGGTGTTCCCCCACAAGATCTTCACCAATTATGAGAGGGTGATCACCTCTGCCTTAATCATCCTGTATCCTGTCAAGCAGGCTAACTTCCTTGGACTGGTGGAATACTGCCGCAAAGGATTCATTTAGGAGTTCGGTTTTGTCCTCAGTGTCAGTTATCAGCTGTCCCATTTTGTTCATCGGGGCCCTATGTTTCCCGTATTTTTTCTCCGACTTCCTACATATCTGAAGAAGGGCTTTTTGTTGTCCTTCATTTCGGTTACCAGTTTGTATTCGATTTGTGCCTTTGCTTTCCTAAGCCACTCCCTACAGGTGCAAGCTATTGCTGAGTACTCCACCTTGGTGGTAATTTCTGACTTCCATCCCCGGTTTATATGCTTCTCTTTTTCATTTCGTGAGTATCTTAGTGATCATTTCATGGTGAGACGATCATCTTATATATTTTTTTTATAATAAATGTTTTTAAGAAAAAATGAAAGTTGCTAACCTGGGAATACAGCCTTTACTGCAAGTGTGTGTGTGTGTGTGTGTGTGTGTGTGTGTGTGTGTGTGTGTGTGTGTGTGTGTGTGTGTGTGTGGATACACACACACACACCTATCTTTGTGTTTTGGGTTTTTTTTCCTCAGGGAGTAGGTGAGGCTGGGCTGTTCTTAGGATGCTCTGTGTTTTTTGCTATAAAAGATGCCATTGCTGCAGCACGAAAGGAAAGAGGATTAACTGGGACATTTCTGTTGAATAGCCCATCAACTCCTGAGCACATTCGAATGGCATGCATTGATCAGTTTACTAAGATGGTACAGACTCTTTCTTTAACTTATATCTGTTTAATTACCTCCTACTCCTGTAGGACTTTTTTCTGTATTGTTTTAATTGTAATAATTACAATTACAGGCTATTTGATTATTTTATTTAGGGCCCATTATTACTGATAATTCTCTGAAAACATCAACCCAGTTTACAGCAGCAGGCAGAGGCAAATAGAACATTAAAAACTAGGGGTGCACCGATAGAGATTTTGGGGGCCGATACTGATAGCCAATTTTAAGGAGGCATATCGGCCAATACTGATTCAATTTCCAATACAGCTGTGTGCAGCTGGTAAGTCTGTTGTGGTGGATGGGGAGTAGGGAGGAAAGGGGCATGGGGGGGCGGGGCAAATCAAGGCCCCTGTGGTGAGGGAGGGAGCGGGGCTGGAGCAGTTACTGCCCAGCCAGGGTGGGGCATGGTGGGATGTTGGATGAAGCCGTGGCTCGTCTGGGGGGCATGGCATGGCG